CTTCTGTTAGCGTTCCTACATTAGTTCTTATCGCGAATTACTTGTATTTGAGCTTGGTGCGCACAGTCTAATACGGGTTTTCCCATGCTTGCGTGTTCGCAATCTAACACTTTCATACGTAGACAAAAGCCCAGGAAGAGTATAAAATGTGACATTCTTTAGTTTTCAACGTAAATTCCACGATATATTTGTATGGGCGTTCAATTATATGATAATATTTTCTATTGTTATATAGAGCCATGTTTCAGTGCGAGCAAGTGGACTTTTTTTAAATTAGTCAGACATGTTAATAATAACATTGTTTATAATCGTTTAACTAACAATACTCCTGATGGCAAGTTTGGCTTCTACAGCTCATGGATATGCAACAAACTTCAAGCAAACGATTAATGATCATCAAAACCTTTAATCATTCGCTTGAAGTTAAGTTGATGAAAAGTGGCAGAAGTGAGTTTGTAATCCCCCGAGAGGGATAGTGGCCCCCCGGAAGTAGTCGCAAAAACGTACTGCTAGACCTCGATGATGAAATAATTGTTTAAAATAAATTAAATCCGATGTTCTCCTTGGTAGAGGTAACACTCACCACCAAAACGTACACGTAATGACATTCAGGCGACACTAAGTCGAACTCATAGTTTCCCCTTTCACGCTTAACCCGAGATTGGACACCCGAGACTTCGTTCAACAATGGTATTGTTAATCGAAGACCCGAGACGAGGCCTTTTAGCACCCGAGGCCTTTTTACTTTTTTACCACCCACATTCCGATCGAAATTAAGCCGATAATTTCTACTCGTAATTTAATTTATTTTTATATAATATAATTTTTATTTATAGTGCAATCATTTTAAATATAAATAAATTAAATTTATTTACATAAAATTATTGTACTTTTTAATTCCATTCTTCTAATAAAAGACGTTGAAATTTATATTTTAACGGTATTTTAACGTTATAACGATATTTTAAATTAAATAAGTTACTTTTGCTTTTAAAGATAAATTTTTAATAACAAAACGAAATCTGTTGAAATCCCAAACGTACATCATTGTAATTGACATGCATTCCCCGAGATAAATACGCTTGAATTCCGTAAATTTTTACCATTCACAATTATCCGCATATGCGTACAAAAATGAAGGTTGGCGAATATTGCTAATACGTATGTGACGGGGGTCGAGTGATTAGGGAACGTGGCGATTTATTAAGCTGCGAGTTCAAGATCGCGCTTTATCACGCGGGTTATCTTTCCCGCCCTTGCCTCCGCTACCGCTTGCACCCGCTTCGATTTACTATCCGCCGTTGTGGCCACTCTACACACTGTATTGTTTAATGTGTGTACTTGATCCCTTTCGTTGTAGGGCGGTTTTCCCTTAATCAACGTTTTACCTAGTACAGCCATGACGCTGCTATATGGTTGTAGCTCGATAGGCTCGAATCACAGAAACTCACAGAATACCGGTATAAAGTAGCAGCATAAAACTGTGTGTTTGTTTGTCGTCCTTCATCTATATAAAAAAAATAATCACGCTAGTACAGATCGATTTACTCGATAGTCAATCAGTATGGATGAAGATAGTTCCTTTAGTTCGCTGGTAGTGTCACTAAGCAAGTCAAATCTGCGAGTCCTCAGATTGCGAATCAAATCTGATATGCAAAGATCTGTTTTAGTATAAAACGATTTTTACGGACTTTATTGCGTTTAATTGTACTTATTTTTAATTTTATTATTTTTTAAGAGTAGGTCCCCTTAACCGAAGAGCATGTATGCATAGGTATATGGATGTGGAGGAGGCGAGAGAGGTATGTCAGGATCGTGCTAAATGGAAGTCTAGCCTTTGCCTACCCCTCTGGGTGACAGGTGTGAGTGTTTTATTTTTAATTTTCACGGGGGACTGAGGTGATTGACGGCCCGATGTCAGAGTTAACCTCGGGAAGCTGGTGCTTTTAATTATTACTTTTGGTCCGATCTACGCAGAATGAACTTACTGTGTCTTGAAGTCTTGCAGTGGTATACTTGGGTTTAGTTTTAATTCTATAAATCATAAGATCCCAAGCAGGTGGTATTTCCCAGCTTCCTTCTATATTGAAATTAGAATGTTTTTTTAAACTTCTATAGCCTCCGTATCATCCTTGGCAGGAATCGATGTCCTTTCGCGAAGATAGTTTCCTTGCTGATCGGAGTATCAAGGTCGTAGTAGACGGTGCATTCTCTGATTACAAGCCTATTAACGCTGGTGTTCCACTAGGCTGCGTGCTATCATCAGCACTGTTTCTTCTGCATATCAATGATATGATGCAAACTGGTAACATTCATTGCTATGCAGACGACAGCACTGATGATGATACACCGGCCGTGCCAATATTTCTCGGGATAACGTTGCCGAGTACCGGCACAAACTTGTGTCTGAAGTTTTTTCTTTACTGAACAAAGTCTTGGATTGGGGATGACTAAATCCAGTCCAGTTTAATCCCCAGCAGACACAAATTTGCGCGTTTTCCGCTAAAAAGAAACCCTTTGTCGTATCTTCTGTTTCAAGGCACTCCCCTTGCTGCCTCAGTTAGCATCGAAATCCTCGGCTTCGACATATCGAATAGTGTGCATTTTCGTGGTCACTTGGAGGGGAATGCCAAATTGGCTTCTAAAAAGCTTGGCGTGCTCAGCAGAGCGAGACAGTATTTTATGCCGGCACATCGCTTGCATAAGATAACACATAAGACATGCAGGAAGTCGATGGATGCAGGTGGCTCAGGACCGTGCTTTGTGGCATACCTTGGGGGAGGCCTATGTTCAGCAGTGGACTTGTGGATGGTTGTAATGATGATGATGATGACATCGCTTGCAACTTTACAAAGCGCAAGTTCGGCCTCACATGGAATACTGTTCTCGTCTCAGGGCCGGGGTACCCCAGTGCCAGCTTCTTCCACTTCACCGCATCCAGCGTAGAACGGTTTTAATCGTGGACTAACGAGTTCTTTCTGATCGGCTCGATTCACTGGCGCTGCGTGTGTTGCATCTACCATGGGGAGTGTTCTGAGGAATTATTCGGATTAAAACCAGCCGCCAAATTTCACGAACGCACATCGCGTCAAAATTCACGATACCATCATTACCTTCTAAATGCTGGCCATCCACCACTGTGCGTTTTACTAAGAGTTTTCTTTCTCGTACAACTTCTCTGTGGAATTGTTTACCACCGGCGATTTTTCCGAAACGATACGACTTAGGGACCTTCTAGAAAAGAGTATACTCCTTTGTAAGGCTGACAACGCACCTGCGATTCCCCTGGTGTTGCGGTTGTGCATGGGCGGCGGTAGTCACTTAACATCAGGTGAGCCGAATGCTCGTTTGTCCCCTATTCTATAAAAAAAATGTGCTTTTTATAGAAATGGTCAATCAAATCTGCTATAATTGCAAGGGCCGTCTAGGATATGATCACAAACTGCAGACTTACTGGAGTGTTGGTGTTTTACGTCAGCTGTATGTCCTTTTACGCGGGTTTTTATGGATCTTTATATAGGGCAAACAAAAAGATCTATAAAAATCCTTGCTTACGAGAGTGTACGACAATTTTACATTTATTAATTATGCTGAATGTAATTCGTTTGAACGCATTCTTTGCTCTGTCTCCGTGTTATTGCCGTTCTGACTTCTGCTTGGTTTAGGTGACTGATGTTTCGAATTATCGCTGCGCTTTCGCAAATTAGCCTATTGAAGTGCTCGTGTTCGACATACATTGTTTGAATGTTTCTATGAATTATATGTTGATAATAAAATATTTTGTTGCTCATCATTATTAAAATAAAATCTCTGCTGTATACAAATCTGAATATCGTTATCAGTGATTGCTTTTTTTCTCCACTTTACACTCTATCATATTGTTAATTATGTAGAGAAAGCGCTTTTTATTTGATAACAATGAAATAAATTGTTTAGGTACCATTGCATTCACACTTTAGATTCTTTGATATTAATAATATCAAAGAATCTAAAAACAATTTTTTCAGTTGTATTTCTGTGTCATGTAAAAATCGTTTTATATATAAAGTCATTTTCAAGACCCATTTCAGGATAATTTTGGTTATGGCGGAACGATAGAGAAAATTAGTTTCATACAAATAATTGCCGCCATCATAGGTATTGTTTATAAACGCCTTCTTTGTTCGGTTTCATTTAATGCTCGCTTAACATTGTTTCGACTTTAAAAAAAGGAAATAAAGCGGCATAATCCGCCTTAGGTTGTTTAAATTCTTATAGAGCGGGTGTGGAATGAGTCAAGGCGTTCGCACATCTGGCGTCAAAAGAAAACATCATTGTTTGAGCTATCGCGCTGCGCCCAATCAAACACCTGCTGCTAAGCCGCATGACAAATGCTGTCGCTGGCAGGAGTTGTTGCCGTTGAAGTTTTCATTAAAATTTGTACATTAATGAAAACTGTTACTGAATATGTTATTATGACATCTAATTTATAAATAATTTCACTTATTAACTCACATAATATTAAGCCTGAAGAGTTTAAACAGATTTGTCTGCAGAACATAAACTGTAAAACGGGTTTCATACAGAAGAATTCAACGCGCGTAACTTACTTTCACGCAATCCGTAAAAAATAATAAAAAAAAATATAAGCTCTCTGGCAAAATACATTTACATGTAAATTAAGTTAATGAGTTCAGATGTAAAATGCTAAATTTACGCATTACATTAAGCCCTGAAAGCTATAATTTGGACTACACTGTCGGTTGGAAACAAGGCACACGTCTCCAAAGATCTGATAAAATCCCTAAACATCGTGAGTATTTAGATATAATCGATGCTTTCTGTAAGTGCATATATATTTTGGAAAATAACATTGCACCTGTGGGGCTTACCGCGTGGCCTAGAGCCGGCTTTGTTTATATATACGCGAGTGACACGTGCAGCCTCGTGCACACATAACATGCGCCAGTAATCAGTTATCGGCTGCGAGAGTGATCGAGCATCGCATTATGTCACCGTAATTAAAAACTGTGCCACGCAGTGAGGAAGCGACGGAAGCCTGTGACGATGAGGTGGTAGTGATAGTGGTGGTGAGGCGGTGAGGGGAGGGGGAGGCGCAAGTGGCGGACCGCGGCGAGGCGATTCGCGCGCCGCACGCCGCCGCGTTCGCACGCACGCTCCTGTAGCGCTTTCAGCGCATAGCTGCTCCCGCGTCGCGATGTGTGAATAGTGTGAGAGCGCGTCGTAAGCGCCTCGACTTCTCCATGGAGTACCAGCACCCGCAACCAGTTCAGCCCCTCGGCCCGCCGGCGCCGCCGCCACAGCTTTTGCCGCCCGCGCCGCCGCCACCATTGCCTACCCTGCCACAGCTGCAGCACGGTCATGTGCAAGACGACGACCGCTGGAGCCAGTACCACATCTGGAGGCAGCACGTATTCGTCAATGGTCAGTGCTCGCAACCCAACGCCGTTCGGGAAGCGTTCGCGCACTTTCTCCCGCAGTTCACATTCGCCGCTGCCCCCGGGCCTGCGAGAGCCGCCGAAAAGAGAAAGTGCGCGACCGTAGCCTGACGTCGAGCCTCCGACGGAAGTTTTCGGGTATCGAGAGATCTTTGTTATGCGATACCGTTTTATATTTAGTGTGTATTTCATTTCTTGTTACTTAGATATCGAAGGTTTTGTGTGCCAACTTTAACATTTACGTATGTTATAATGGAAAAACGAAAAAGGAATTTTAGAAAATTTAACATTCGATTCAATATATTATTGAATTTTAAAATCTTAACATCAAAGTTATAAGAAATTAGTTGTTTTACTTAAATTCCATGACATCAAATTATCAAAGATACTTTAAGTAGAGCCTTTTTAAATGTAAATAGTTAAAACCAATTAATTTTAAATTATTTTTTAAATATATATATATGTGATGCGCATAAAGATTCTCTTGTCGTAGTTTCCGTCGAAATGTGCTAGAAGATAGAAAGTGTATATTCATATCAAGGTCAAAAGCTAAACATTGGGTCGTTAAGACGTAGCAGATGCTTCAACAAGCAGTTCAGTTATAAATTCGATTAGCTTGTCAGTGTTGAGAAGCCTTAGATAGGCGCATGCTCATACGACGAGGTTTAGTATTATTTTACTTTATATATTCTAGGATAAACACTGATTATGCATTTGCTTACGTGTGTATTTTATTTTTCTGTATAAAGCGCATAAAATTACCTAAAAGCGCATAAAATCAAGAACAAGTGTTCATATCTTAGTTGAACGTAACTTGTCCAAATTATTATTACTTTTACATTGTATTTCTAATACATATTATGTAAAGTACAGCAATCGTTTCTGCGAAATTCTTATCGCTTGTGTAGGTTTTATAAAGGCGCTAACCAAGCTTTATCAAAGCTGCGGAAGCGGAAACTACAAGATCATTCGTAACTTTGTTGCGTTTAATGGCGATGATGTATGATTCACGAATTTATTTTATTATAACGATATTAGATAGAGAACTATCGGTTACAGAATTGTAAAAGCAGCGACCAAGAAGAGTTCTAAATATATTTTTAAAAGTAGATAATCATAAATAAAACTGTTAAGTTGCAAATAATAAAAAGAGAAAAACGTTATAGCAGCTCCATTAGAGTTACTTTCGACTCAAAAAGTTGACCTATTTTTTAGTTTATTTTTCTTTCGATCTTTCTAAAATGATATATTGGATGTCTACACTGATCAATAAATATGTATTTGACTAGAATCAGCTATAAAAATACGTAAATATTTAACACGACCGAGGTCAATCAGAGAGCGCTAAGTAATTAGGTAGCGACTTGACGTCCTCCATTTAATGAATCAGTATTAGTATTTGGTAAAAGATAATTTAAAATAGGAACTATTCGGCGTGAAATTTAATTAGTAGAATACTAATGAAGCTGATGACCCTTGAGGGCTCGGCCTTACTTACAGTCGGATTATCGGGCCTCACAACATCTTGATCCAATTATTTCCAAAGGAAATCTATTCAGATAGGTATTAGCAGAAACGATTAGCAAGGGTTTTAAATAAACAACAACAAAAGGGGTTAAATTCGTGAAGGTCGAAAGCGGTATGTATCACTGATTTAATAATCAGTCTCGATCGAATATTTTTATTACTGGACCTACCCTTCCCTCGTAAGTCTAAAATTCATTAGCTATAATGTGCTGCTGTAACATTTACATTATTTTTGAATAAAGTCTACTAGAGATGCGAATACTAAAACAAAATTTTATTCATTTATAGGTATTATCCGTCTGAGATAAGGTCATATTTCTATACAGCACTAGCACTACTATGCACTTCTTTTGTAGCAAGATTATATTTTCATTGAAACCTTTTATCGCGATCCATTAATACAATGCATGCGTGTGTCTTAAAAACTCTATTATCTATTATATATTACATGCACTATTCCAATTTTTATGTTATCTAAACGTGAGCAAGGGTTATCTAGGATGCCTCCTGTATACTTATCTGTATTAGGGATCTAACACGTGTTGACGCTGCGGCCTTTTTCACTCTTAAGTAGGTATATTATACGTCTCACTGCTGGGCATGGTTTTAGGGCAAGGAAATGTCCGCCGCGCTGCCCCAATGCGTGGTGGCGAACTTCACATGTCTTCGAAATATTGTTTTTTTATACTGCCGAGCTCGTTTTAAATCAGCGCTTAAAATTGCAATTAAAAATTTCAACAGTGCTGGCGGAGCTCGAATCCGGTTGCTCGCGTACTGTTAAATTTACAGCGACCGCTTAGCCTCTGAGCTACCACGGCTCTATAGATCTGTGAAACGTATATGTACACAAATAAGAATTCTCGCCTATTTCTTTATTCATTGCATTCTTGTTTTTGTAATCATTCATTTATTACGTGGTAGAGCCATGCTGCAGTTATATTAGTAGTATAGTTGTAGCACGAATGGGTCGGCTCGACCGGGGAAGGACCACGCTCTCACAGAATACCAGCGTGAAATAGTAGCTTAATGCTGCTGTATTTCGTATGGTGAGTGTAGAGAACCGGAGACCCTTGTTACTGGAAATGAGGCATTCCATCTCAGTCCTCGCGGGTGACAACGCATCTGCATTTTGATTTGTAATGGAAGATAGATGTAGATGTCTATGGGCCGCAGCAACCACTTACCATCAGGTGGACTGTGTGCTCGTTTGTTACCCTATTCTATATAAAAAAAAAGAAAATTTATGTACTCGTATTTCAGTTAATTGTTTTATATAGGCCTTAAGTGATAAACAAATTTGCAATTCACCTGTTGATGATTGGTACAGCAGCACATGGCCGCGCTGCAATCAACTTCGAACAATGAAATCGCAACTATGATGTACTAAGATGGAATTCCTTAAAGCCTGGTATTATTATACCGTGGCCCTTAACCCTTCGGACCCAAACACAGCTTTACAGGCACTAGGGCTGAAACAGGTGACACCAAAACAGACTTCCAGGTAGTAAAAGTGATCCTAGTGCATCATCTAATCTGCTCAAACAATTTATAATTTGTTTCATCAACTATAAAAGAAGAAATGGAATTATTTTTAATTTTGGTCTTATTTATTAGCCTTGAAAACTGGGCATAGGACTTTTAAAAATATGCCAGAAGACGGTAATAATATTTTAGAATATAATTTTAAAGGATTTTCAATAAATACTAGGTCCTAATTGAAATACCTAGGTATATAACAAAATATTTTATTAAGTAGTATCGCCACTACGCGCAAGATACTAACGAGTGGCGTTATTTAAATTTCTAAAAATCCAATAAATTTTTTTTTGATAATGTATAGATTACCATCACGTCCTTCCTATTTTTTTTGTAAAATAATAATCTTCTTCTTACTTACATTGAAGTCTGGTTACGTACGTTTAACGATTATAATACACAAAACAATATAAAAATTGCTTTTGCAAAAATTACATATTATATGCGAGACATCTGCTCGCAGGCATAGTATCTGCCATTGCTATCATCAGTGCGCCTCCTAGGCTTGGCGATTTTCTTGCATTGGTGAACTATTATCAGGTAATAAAGAAATAGAAAAAAATAGAAAATGCTCGTCGACTGTTTGTGTAACTTATTATTAACATTTTGTAATATATTATGTATAAGCGCTAAATAGTACATCTATGTTTTAACGTGTTTGCTTTTATTCAAAAATAATTTTATAAAATTGTAATAGACAGAAAAGTTTTAAATAATTGTGTCATTTGATGGCGTAAATTATTTGCATCCGCGTAATGCAATTTCACATGAGATTAAACTGAATATTAGTCCAATACGAGCTGCTTTTAGGTTTGCGGTCAGAACGCGGGCTCGCGCTGTTACTTCTTTTGACCAATTCGAGCGTAGCCACTTTCACTCCGAATATTTGGGAAAAAGTGTCGACCTTTTCGCGACTTTCACCCCGCCCGCCTCGCCCCGCGCCCCTGTACACGTGCTTTCTTCCGCGTGCGCGTGGGCAAAACCACTTTTACTTTTTAAACTTGACAATGCCCGAGAATATTGCTTTGCGTCGTACCGTCCTTTTCTATCCTTTGTTCTAAAATCATTTCTTGAACATTATTTAGAAAAAATCGGAAGATATGGGAGTTATCATATTACACAATGTCGCGTTTATATTAAACTTATTTATGATAACGGGTCGGGTCAGTGCGGAATACTTACTGTAAGTGATTGAATTAGATAACAGCAAATTTAAAAATCACCGTTGAACCAAATTCAAACGGAGGCGATAAATTAAGTAAAGTTGTTCTAATTTAACATGGGATGTTATAGTGAATTATTATATATATTATTACATTAATTGATAATTTTATTAAACTTGTTTGAAAGGGTAAATATGGGCAAAAATATTTTTGGAATGGGAGTTTCAGTAAGAGTCGCGTAATGAAAGTATATTCCATTTCTTAATATTTTAATGTAATAATATTAATGTAGTATTTTAGTTATGTAAAGTTAATGATTGAACTTTTTAATACGTCGTACGTATCTTGTACAAATTTATAATTATAATGGTCATCATCATTATAAACAGTCCATCACAAATTACAACAAGGCTCCGCCCTGAGCCTCTTACATTTATCTACTCTATGTCATACCACCCTATTCACTACACCATAGAATATTATGTGTGTATTATAGTATTCTATGCACTTCACAGTACTCAATTGACAGCTAATGTGTTTTGTTTTAGAATCTAATATATTACTCTTATACTCAATGATTTCAAAGGGAAGGATAGGCCCTTCTAAATATTTTACTCATAACTTTTTCATACAAGAAAAAGTAGCGCATCTGTCATAATACAAACGTCATATCAAAACACGATGTAACCAGGGTCGAATTTCGTAGTATAATTATCCAAATTGTATCATTATTTCGTAGTTTGTAGTATATAGTATCGTAGTAATTCAAAGCGAAAATACCATAATTTTACCTAAAGGACGACTTGTATTACTATTGGGTCCTTTTAAATTTTAATATTAAACCTACGATATCGAGACTTTTTGTATTGTACATGATTATCGCGTTTTTTTAATATAATTAGAATTAGCTCCCGTTCTAGTCAACGATGGTCGATCAATGCATTTATGTTACATCCTTGATACAAC